CCAGAAAACCAGGTCTTCAAGAGTCAAGGGGATGAATCCTTTTAGAGTTTTTATCTACACTATGAGTCCTACCAATGAGCAGAGTATGAGCTCAAACAGAGGTTATCAGTTGGTGAGGTTCCCTCGTCAGATTAGCAAAAGCCCTATTGATATAAAGAGCAAAGTATTAGTCTAAATTTCAAAATGTACGTCGTACACTATTTTTTTCGCAAAGTGTACATTTGCTTTTCAAAATACCTGATTTATTTATTTACACAGATGCATTTCATCAGGAGAAGGGGAGTGAAAGTACAATATCACAAATGTTTTGGTCAAAACTTGGCAGATAACGATAGGATTTTAAAAAATATTTTGTACTGTTTTTATTTTACTTCAGATATTTCTCACATGGCTAAATGAGCATTTATTACGACGAGATTCTAGCTGGGAACTGTTTTGGTCAAATAAATGTAACAACACCAACATCGGTTAAAACTACTGCTCAAGAAAGAGATCAATCGATAAAAATGACAAGTGCTACAGATTCGTCATTAGTGGATGGCATAAATGGAGAAAAGATGGAAAATGGCACCATCGTCCATGAGCAACATACTGTCCTAGATGATTTAGGCTTTTCTACAACAGATTTATACAATATGGCTAAACAGTTTTTAAAAGGTAAAATGTTGTCGGATCGAGTATAAATTTTCACGCTTTTCGGTAGAGAATTTTGTGTTAGCGAATTAACGTAATTTATCTTTTTCACTCCCTAGCTTGATATCTCACGTACCATCTTTTGTTAATAAATTGTACTACTTATTCGAATTTCTAAACTGATTTGTTTTAGAGAAAGAAGGTACAAAAGCAATTCAGTTAGGATATCGAGACAAACAACATTTGGTTGCTTTATCGAAACAAGCAGCTTTCGGAAAATATCAACCACAATCGGCAAAACAAGTTGGGTTTTTAGATGTGATAGGAAACGATCGCAGGTTTATTACACTCAAATAAGTTAGAATCGACTTACTGATAATGCTTTTAATATTCTAGACAAGCATGGATCGAACTTGGAGATATGTCATCGGAAACAGCGAAGAAAAAGTTTATAGAATTATTATCAGAACGATGCTCAATGTTCCGACCGTATCTTGAAGCTCACTGCAAAGATAATGAAGAAAAAGAGCGCCTAAGGTAAGGTAAGCAACTGTAAGAAGAAATTATTTGTGTTTTTATTTATGTTGTATCACGTTCTTGTTGGTTGTTGTGTGTTCCCAACAATGAGGCGTAGATCGTTTTCTACTGAGTTTTACATATTTTGTATGGTAAAAAAATAATAAATTTTGCCAAAAATGTTTAGTATACACTAAAGTCATCTCAAAATTGAGCAAAGAAAGATATACAAAAGTCTTAGATAAATGAAGTTTTATTTGGCTCGAGATCCATTCAGCTATTTCTGCATGTGTGATGGACATGCTCTGTTCTGATACGAAGCAGTCTTCCTCTCTCTCTCCCTCTTCTTCTCTCTTTTCCTAAGAATAAAAAAGAATAAAGTTTTATTCAAGTCTTCATATTTAATTGTTTTCTGCGTGACCATAATCTGTTACATGCTCTGTATGTGTAATCATGGAGTTGTTAAATGACTATTTTCAACGTTCATATTGTTTGTTTGAAAACATTGTAGAACGTTTTCAACATACCACTTTTACTTCGTAATAAAGGGGCCGTATAGATAGATTCCGCTGGCCTTTAAAAAAAAATTACTATTTCCACTAAAAAGTTCTGTTTAGTTGAAAAATTAATAACAGACCATTTTTTCATATGATACACTATAGCAGATTTGTGTAATGGAAGACTTTTCCCTCCCTATTTAAAAGACAGAAAAACAATGTTTTCTCTTCGGATTCTACATAAATATGTCTTTTTTTTCTATTTTCGTTCAACAAATTCTTTTTTCTAAAAAACTTCACAGCAGGATTCTCTTTCCTTTTGTCTCTTCTCTTTTTTTTTACAGTTCCTTGTCTTATAAGTTTCTCTTCTTTTTCCTAATTCCGTCTAACTTTTTTCCGCATATATCACTGAGGGTCTGAACATAACAGAATAAAAAAAAGAGTGTTAGAAGATCCTCAGAGCATACAATAAAATTCAAATATGTTTTATGTGCTACAGTGTGACTTTGATTCCTCTATTGCGTGTATGAAACAATCACTGTGAACGTTTTCTCATGTTGTTGAGATTTCTTTCTCATATTTTTCATATGTATAGGTCTATAGAGAGCTATTATATTAACTTGACAGTTGTGCGATTAAATTTTTATTTCATTCTGAGATATTTGTATCTTCATAAAGTAAGACTTACATGACTGAATGTTGTTGTTCTATGTATACGAAGTGTGTTAATCATTGATAAGCGATACATGTTTATTTCTTAAATATATTGCTCTTTTAACCAGCATCTTTTCGCTCATTCATGAATGCAGTAACATTAATTTCTAACTAATTAATGTTCATTTAATTGTTGGTCACGAGATTTAGATCTTTCTTTTTCAAGTTACCAAAAATTTTTGATGATCCATCACAAAAATATAGTATCCCTATAAAAAGTTGAGCACTTTCTATTGATTCAATTTAGTGTCATTCCAAATAGATAGAAAGTTTAGACTGAAAAGAAAAGTAAAAGACGAACGTATTGATTAACAACATCGACGGTTTTTTACTAGGAGTTAATTTAACAGAAAAAAAATTATTTGAGGTGTTCAGTCACAGAGAAAATAATAACAAATGGGTAAGATTTAATTTTATGCAAAGTTTCAACACTGACAGTGACGTTGTTTATAATATGTAACATGCATTTAGATGAAAAATTATAAATTAATTAGTAGTTAAACATAAAATTAGTTGTTGGTTTGATATTTTTTTTGTTTTTTATCTTTTCTATATAGTACTGAGAGTGTTCTTAAAGCATGGAAAAAGAAGAGTACGCATTGTATCAGTTTTATTACTGTCATAAAGAAAAATTATTTTGTATAAGACGATCTAAAATACATCAGAATAGCTAGAAGATGATACTACTTTATGTACGGCAATACTTTTTCTCGCTCTCACTCTCTCTTTATTTCTATATATATATCTCTACTTCTATATATATATATATTCTACTTCTAATCTTTTTTTCTGTTAACGTGAATAAAAGTCAATTGTACTATTACAACACAGTAGGGAAATTCCTTTCCTCCTATTTTTTTTTTTTTTTTTGACTTATCAGTTTCATCCTCTTTTTTTTCCACTCTTTTTTTACCACATTCCAGGAAAAAAAGAAATCTGAGCACATCTGAAATTACATGCATTTTTCTTCTTGTTGCGTTGATACTTAGACACAGGCTGATTCTGACACTCGGCGTATCTACTAGAAAAAAAAATGTTTATATTTTTTCTTCTTCAGACGAAAGAACAAAGGAAAAAAATAGTTTATAGAACAGAGCAGGAAAAAAAAGAAGCAAAGACAGATTGGTAAAGAGTTTTATGTACTAATATACTGATTACTATTCTTTTTTTTTCCTACAATGATAACATAATGACAATAGTTAGTATTATAGAAATCTTTTGTTTTAATAGTCTACAGTAAAAATTTACTTTTTAAGAAATTTTATCAAATTAAAAAATTTAAAAACAGTAGTTTAGTTACTTACGGTAACTTCAAAAAGAAATGACGTCTTTTCTTTTTAATCTGATTAAAGTTAATACCTCTTGAATTAGTGCTTTACTATTTCTAAAAGGGACGTTGTTGTTTTCTTTTCCATTAATAGACAAGAAGATGAAAAACGTCGTATTTTAGAACAAGAAGCTGAACGAGATAGAAGAAAACAAGAAGAAGAAGTGATCAAATTAGAAGATATTAAAAAGAAACGAGAAGAACAACAAAAGTATTAAGTAACTAGTTAAATTTACCATTTTATAATTTGTTTTTTGTATTTAATAGAAAACAAATTCAAGACGCATTGAATCAACAAACCTATCCTCAATTTAAAGCTTACGCTGAACAACAACATCGTGATAATTTACTAGCTGTAAACTAAATTTGAATAGGTAAAATTATTGATGATATACAAATTAATTTTCTATTTTATAGCAAGAAGATTTAATTAGACAATTACAAGAACAACATTTTCAACAGTATATGAGTCAAGTTTATCAACAACAATTATTTCATCAACAACAACAAATAAAAGCAGCGTCTGCCTCAGCAACTCCTACTCAAGTAACGAATAAATAATAGATCTATGAAAATTAACTTTGCTGATTTGTTTTTCTATATAGAATAAACAACAGCCATCATCTAGTGCCATGGAAAATAGTATAAATTCTCAACAGTGGAACACTAGTGGTAGCTATGATCATGATCAAGAAAAAATCGAAAAAATCCAATCTGACCTTCAGTCTATGGAAATAAAAAATACTACAACTACTCCACCATCATCAATAGTAGAAACTTCTACATCTCAGACAGGATCAGTTGATTTGGGAAATTTTCAGCCAATAATAAAACCAGAAAATGATAGTATAGATGGTGGTTCTATGATTTCAGTATCAAAAGTTGATGAAACTGCTCCGAACACAGCCGATGAACAATTGCAACCAGCAGAAGAAGTAGTTCGTGGTATGTCTACAAACATAAATACAAAAACGTTCACATTCTTCCATATTCATATTTATAGAATATCCTCCCATAGCTCCAGCCAATATGTGGACACGTAAAGATATTAAAGAATTTAAAGAACATGTACGAAAAGAAAAAGATGCTGTAATTAAAATTGGTAGTGGAGAAACAGTGACAGTAAGTGATATAACTATGTATCGAACTACTAATTGATATCTAAATCGTTTTTCAAACTAAATAAAGGTTCGGGTACCGACTCATGAAGATGGTCGATGTATATTCTGGGAGTTCGCTACCGATTATTATGATATTGGTTTTGGTCTCTATTTTGAATGGACGAAAGCTCAGTCGAATACAGTCACCGTTCATGTCAGCGATTCAAGTGAAGAGGAAGAAGAAGGCGAAGAAGGAGGTCAGTATTTTTTGTTTTGTAAATTTTCTCTTGATAGTTTGTATTTTGTTAAATTAGAATTTTATGAAAACTTCCTAGGATTTGTCCGTTTTCCGAAGGAACAGAAAGTTTGAAGTATAAAGTTTATATACGAGAATTTTTGTGGTTTGCAGAGGGTTTTTTGTCAGTAGCTGTAAACATACATTTCAGTAGCTGTGAGCACAATTTCCAGTGGCTGTAAACTTTCGGGGGTGAAATTGTGATTGACCAAATCTCACTATAAATTTGATGTTTACAGGTACTGAATGGACTAGTACCAGACAGTGCATTATCGATCTGATGTTGTCAGATATAAGTTTTAAAAATTATTAGGATATATTATTACATGTTCTATGTTATAGTCCAGCAGTTCAATAGGAAGTTTCACATTTTGCTTCGTAGAAGCAACGCTGACAAGCTTTTTTCATATAGTTCATGTGTGATATTTTTCTATTTTTTTCAGCTGAGAAAAAAGATGTTGAAAAAGGTCGTAAAGCACCAAAACCGTATCAGGATGAAATCATTCCAATTTTTCGTCGTGATTGTCAGGAAGAAATATACGCTGGAAATCATCCTTATCCAGGTGATGGTGTTTATTTATTAAAATTTGACAATTCCTATTCATTATGGCGTTCGAAAACACTCTATTATCGTGTTTATTATAGTCGTTAAAAGAAATCGATTATCACTATTGTAATGGGATTTATGGTCTATTTATCTATCTACTTATCTATTTCTATATATTGTTGTCGTAATTTTAAAATTTTCTATTTTCTGTAATAATTCCATCCATTTGATGTGTGACACAACTGATGACGATCGATTGATCTCCAAAATAGATCTGTTATATTTGTTTGTTTGCTTTTCTATTAATTGTGATCTGTTTTTATTTTTTCGTTATTTTTTTCTTTGTTTTGATGTATCATTATTTTTCCAGCGGTCTCTATATTTATATTCTACACGGTGTATGTATGACATCAAGTCAGAAAGAAAGAAAGAGACAATTGATTTTAATGGTGAGATTTTAGTTTCTCAAGATCTTATTCTGGAACAGAATAGTTGTGGAATCATTTATAGGTGGTTCTCTTTTCAGTACTTTGCTATTTAATTTTGAAATTATCTTCTACTATCTATCAGTTATGTTTCGTCGAACATACTTGTTGACAGCTTTAATCTTGACTTTTCACAGGATATTGTAATGAAATGACAGACTGAATTGTGTTTCATGTTTTTGAATAGAAAATCTGTGGTGAAGAGTTGCATATCTTGTCAAGTTGTAATGAATAATCGGCAAGTTTTTGTGTCGAATGACTAAAACGTTTGTTACACTTGTGTTAGTCGTCTTTTTTGAAAAAAAAAATTATATTTGTGGAACCTATTGTCTGTTACCTGAATTGTTCTTGAAAATAGACTGTTGTTTTCTCTCCATTTTGATTATAGTATGTTTTATTTTTGAATTAGCTATTTATAGTTGTTGTTTTCATTAATATAACATAAAGTAAATAAGGTTTCATCAATGTTCTTCTCTCCCGATTAACATGTTTTTAATCGTTGTTTTGGTGTTTTTGTATGCTTTTTATTTTCGTTATAGATCAAATGTTGTGCGTTCGCATTGATCTTTAAAGTTTGTTGTGTTTTTTGTTTCAAAACTATTTATTTCAATTTTTTCATTTTAATCTTAAAACCTAAACAAAATAAAATATGGTTGTATATCCAACACTAACCGAATTAGGTTAGATTGCAAAGAAAATAAACACTTATATTTGATTAGTAGAATGGTAAGAAAGACTGAGAGTGTTCTTAATCAGACTGTCATATATCAACAAAACAGACTTTTTGAACGTTATTAATACTTGTTACCATAAGGTATCTCAGTGAACATTCTGGAATCTAAAAACGTATTTTATTCTAGTGTCTTGTTCTTCACGGTGAAACATCAACAATACGGCACTAAAGCCAAGATCAAGAAGTTTGTGGTATTTTTTGGGGAAAGAAGAAGAGCAATGACGATTAGCGTAAAAACTAGACATTATATTTACTGATGTCTGTTATGATGAGAAATAAAACGTTTTCATAACATCTATTTAAATTGTCTTGAAACTAACAAAGATTTAGTTTATTTTCTTTATAGATCAATTTATCATTATGAATAAATTTGAGAAAAAAGGTGCTACTGAATTACTTTCAATGTTATCCGATTCAGAATTAATGTCATTAAAAGATACTGTAACAAAATCGATGAATCCAACGAATAACCGTTTGGACGCAATCGAAGCATGTATATCGTTGTCTCAGTCGGCTTTCGAATTATTACGTCGAAAAAAGATTCGTCGTGATTTTCTTCTTCAATATTTAGCAAGAAAATCAATATCAATATCTCCTGGCATCGATAAGGTACGATTAGTTAAGATGATCGTTGAATATTGGAATACAAATAAAGTTATTGATTGTAATAGTGGGGATTATTTTAATCATCAAGAATCACCTCAAGCCGTTTGTTTGATTGATCAACAACACTCACAACATCAATATCAATCGACATCAAATTATATTCAACAATTATCTGAACAGTTTACTGAATGGTTTTATACCAATTGGAATGATTTAAAAAATTTTGGCCCAGAACATTTTTTTCACGATGTATTTCTTGTTATAACGCAAGAAAATCGACGAATAACTGGATCACAAAATGTTTACGATCATTTACGTGATTGTATCGTTAAATATAACTTGAAATTTAATCCTAATGTAAATAATAACCAAATTTATGAATCACCGCATGGTCTTGTAATGATACTCGTACATGGTACAGTACATCAACAAACAACATGTTTAGGAATATTTGAACAAACATTTGGACTTGTTCGAGATCCAGCACGTGGAAATAATTATATAATTAAAATGATCTATCTTGATGTACGAATAACACAAACACAAACGGGATCGAATGATGCATTACAACAACAGCAACAACAACAACAGATGAACTTACATTTGCCACCACCAGCTTTTCTTGTTGATATCATGCGACGATACGATTCTGAACAGCAAATGATGAGTGACGACGATGACGACGATAAAACCCAAAGTGACAAAGACGATGATGAATTAGATTTGAAAATTGTGCGGTATCGAGATAAAGAATAATACTCTACCTTCATTTTTTTGGTGGTGAAATAATAAATAACGTATCAGATAAACAAAATGTAATTATTTTTTATTTTCGTTTTATGATGTACGATGATTTATGTTTATTTTGATTTTGTGATAAACTTAGTTAAACTGTATTTTTGTTCTGTTTTTTAGGTTTAATATTCTTATTATGTTCTCTCTTCTTTTATCATTCTGGCGTGTAACCTTTTCTTGGTTTTAATCAAGTATATCACCGTTTCTCTAAAAAGCACTTAGTCTAGAAGAAAAAGAATTCGTTTACTGCTTGTTCCATTTGTCTTCCGATGAAAACTCAAGAACTTACGTGAAAGAATCCATTTTTCGCTATTTTCACCGAAAATCAAAAAATTCATAATTCAATCAAAATCGATCCAGACTACTTCAGAATATCAAGGTAAACTCTGTTTTATTCATACAAGATTATCTGTGAAAATAGCGAAAAATTGATTTTTTAACGTAATATAGATTATCACTAAGTTTTTGAATTTTCTTCTAAAAACAAATATTGCTATGGGATTCAGCGGTGGTGGATAACCAATGTTTCCATTAACTTCCAAGATTATCTATTGCTAAGGTAATCCAATACTGCTAATCCTAGGAAATTTGGGTCCTTGTCGAAGAATGACAGATGACGAGGTCGCTTGACTCTCGATTTGTAGAGGACACTTTGAACTATCATATCTATATGACAAACATAGGGTACACTATGACAGCTTTTTTAACCGCGACCTGCTCTGTTTCGATAAAACATAGAAATCAAACAATGTTTTATACAGTACACGAACAGTTTTGTATTTTTTCATGTTGATACTTAGCTTTTTTGTGCAATAAACTTCGTAAGTGTGTATTTACTAAATACTTGTGTATTAAAGACTAGATTTAAGCTATACAATTTAGGTTCTTAATTTCCATGGAAATGGTAAACGTTAAAATACAAATTCATAGTTGATATCAGAGTTAGTGTTTTATTAAGTTAATTCATGAATTTTGTCATGATTCTTTGCATATGACAGCTGCACAAGGTGTCCTTCAGAAAAAAAGCAGCAAATGCTGAACGTACTGGAAGATTCAGAAGAAATGAATAATGATTTCCATAGACAAAAATATTGGCTTCATCAATTATCTTTCAAAAGAATAAAGCCAGCATGAACGCCCACGTTTTCGATTTCTGAAAAGATGAATAGAGGAGAACTCGCCCCTCCTGACATGCGCGAAAATCGATAATAGAATTAAAAAACAATAGAAACTATGCTACATAATGGTGCATAGTAGTTAGTCACCATACACCACAACAAAAAAATTACTCTCCGTTATGGCAAAACTATATACGTTTTATTTTAGGCTATTGGATGTATAAATCTGTTAATGTAATTCAATATAAGAATGAAAAGTTACTGTAGAAAACGTGTTGTTAAAAAAGTATAGTCAAAAATTAAATCTAAAAACACAGCTATTGTATCTCAATACAGAACAAAATATGAATAACAAAATTCAATTTCTAAAACATCTGCAGAGAAAAACCTTGCAGTTTTACATTCTAATCTAATATAAATCTAATATCTAGAGATACAAGTCTGTTGGGATGTTATTGAAACGTGGAAAAACATAACAATAAACGTATTTAAATATGGAAATAAAATCTTTTACTCTTCAATTTTGATAGTGTTACTAAACGGAACAAGAACTGGCATAGGCGAACTTACATAGGCTCTGAGCGTATCCATAACTATTACTCCTTTTGAGCAGAAGGACACTTGAATATTCAAACATGGTTTAAGTCTGTTCGAGAACAAAACTTGACTACTTCCGACTACATCTTAGATCAACGTGGATATAACATTCCTTCTCCATATTCAGTTTCAGTTATAACTAAAATGTCTTTAGGATACATCTTAATACTACAAGTTAATTTTACTTATTGATAACAACTGGTAAAATTGTGTTTCAGATCAAAACATATTTTTATTTCTTCAAGTTCTTTTCTTCTCATCGATACAATAATTGCGTCTGTTTCCGTAACACTTTTGTGTGGTCCTCTATATGTTGTTGTGACAATATGTAATCCGGGATTTTTCTTTAGAAATGCTGCTTCTACTTTTTTCTTATGCAAATGTTTATCTTTTAATAATTGATTCATATCAGGTAAATTCACTTTTGAATATAATTGACTCATTGTCTTAAAATATTCTTCCGGTGATTTAAAAGCACAAGTGCCTAGAAAAAAAATCTAAAATAATGTTTATACCACTGAGGAACAAAACGGTACTGACCATGTTTTTCCCATTCAGCCTGTTGCAATATTTCATCAGGCATTAGACAAAAATAACTTTTGATCAAAGAAATATCTAATTGTTTATCGTCCTTGCAGTTTCGTGGATGACTTCGGACCCCGCCTCTTCCTCTTGTTTTTTTTGATTGCGGCCAGAGACCATGAACAATTAAACCAAACTTATTCTCTGGTTTACATTGAAAATTTTCTTGCCGTTGTCGTGCCGGCTGATATTTGCAAAATTGTGGTGTCCAAGACAGAACCAATACCAAATAATCAGTAGTACCGTTTAAATTTACCCATTCGTGTGAGCGAAGTTTATGCTTAAAATCATAGTTTTTTTTAAATGATTTTGGTAAACGGCAGACATCTTTTGCTTGTGCTTGTAATAAAGTTGGTAATGTTATTTCAATAAATAGAGCGACCAATATCGTTTTGTTAATGTACTTCATTGGAAAATTATAGATGGCAATAAATAGACGTTAAATGCATATGCTGTCTAAATTTAACTAATTCGTGCGATAAAAATTTTTTTTATAGAAATTTGTAAACAGTCGGATGACAGAAAACCGTCTTCGAAATATGTCTGTTCGTTGTCTCTAACACTTTGAAAATATATAAAAAAATGTCAATGTCCTCCGTTCTTTCGATGAGATTACTGAGAATGTTATTATTATGTATAAAATACTCTGACAGTCAGAAATTGTACACATATCGGTCTCCTGTGACATTTTCAATAAAAATGATGTTTGTTTATCTAAATTCCTTGGAAAAAACTGTCCTTCTTTCTACATGTTAAAAAGAAGAAAAGTACCCTTTAACTAACTGATCAACGTTTACAATAAATCTTGTTGTTCGTAAATACTCATGGCCGAGCCAAGTTTCTCTGGCATTTTTGATAACCAGTTATGTGCGTACATTGATCTGCCAGTTCTTTTGTGTAATTGACTTGCGTTGTGAATTGAAACGTTATCTAAAAATCATAATGAGCTTTTCTTTCATAAATTTTCGAGTAGAGTCTGTAAAGATTGGAATAGAGCCAAATGCATATATATCAAATGTCTATACTACTCTTATTTGTTTGCGAGGATTGTGTATACATATATTATTATAATGTGTTTGTATTAGTTGTCTATAAAACAAACGTTATTTTCTTCATAGAAAGCAAAATCCCGATAGCGAACGAGACTATTCTTAATATTACTACTATGAAGGATGTTAAAACGAAAGCAATTAAGACACGTCTTCGTCAGGAACCTAGCTCCGAAAGTATAAGTCCGATCCTGGAAAAAATTTTAGAGAATGTTGGCCATGCCAAAGTATGGTGACGAAATTTTTTTGACTCCGCCTATCATCGTTGGTGAGATGATGCCATAAAAATGGTTAAAATGGGGCTGTTCGTAGCTGCAAGATTTCTCGGTAATGAAATGTCGCGAAGAGGTCGGGACGGCCTTAAAATACAGAAAACAAAAGTGTCTAGAGGCTAATAAAGCTGGATTTTTGATATTTTACTTTCTTAAATAATGGTAAGCGGCAAAAGTCAAAAATCGAAAAAGTCCCATTAAAAACTTTTACAAAGATGGTTCTCGAACCACAAATCTGGATCAAATATCAAAATTGGGCTCTATTAGCCTCTAGCCACAGCTGTTACCTTCAATTTAACACCAGTCGGAGCTCTCTACGACATTTCGTCACCGAGAAATCTTGCAGCTATGAAATGTGTGTAGAAAGAAATATCATTTTGAGAAAAACATAAAATACGTTTTTTCGAAAACTGTCAAATTTTTAGTAATATTCCAATAAACAAAGTCTCTTTATATATTCCTACAGATTTTCGTCCATGCTGAATCCGATGTGCATATGTCCGTGCCTGTGCCGCATGTGCATGTGTATGTGTAGGCATTTTTTACCTATGAAATATCGCTTTTTTACCTAAAAACATAGTATACATTTTATAGTAGGGTGTCCAGAAACCTTTTACTTATCGAAAAAACGGTATTTTTAGCGAAAATTGATATTTCTGAACGGGGGGCTTAACATAATAAGAAGTATTTTTCTAGTTTACAGATAAAAAGAGAATAATTGACTGGTATGAGTTTTGTAGTTCTGTTTCCAAGTTAGGGACATGACATGCGTAAAAAAATAGTATAATTCTATGCATAAAGCACAGAAGAAGAGAAAGAAATGCACTCACATACAGAATTAGACTTATCACTTGATTCATAGTATATATTGATGAGCAAAATTCTTCTTTTTATGCATAAATTTAGTGTAGACAGACGTTTTTTCTTCGTTTGTTGTATTTGCTATATACACATTAACTATCTTTCTCTTTGTCTCTCTCTCTTTTTCTCTGCTTTTTTCTTCTAGTAAATACCACACATAGATGCGATCGTACGATCTTGTTCGATTTGTTTATATTTTATTCTTGTTAATAGTGCATACAGATATAGATAGCAGAAATCTATTTCACGTCATCCTTTTCTATATTTAGTAACCTGTGTTTCTCTAGTCTAATATTATTATAATTTTTTGTAAGTAATTTGAGAATGTACTTTTATGGTTTTATAGATATTTTATTTTAACCATAGTACTGACTAATGAGAAGATTCTAGCCGCATTTTTATTGATGTTTGCTATCTAAAATTAGATTTTACACCAAATTTAGACTATTTCATGATTTTCGATTGTAAAAACAGATATGACATGTGTCCTGTTTGAGTATGAATAGATGTAAGATGAGTACGATCGATACCATAAAGTGAGGACTGGTTACTATACAAAATAGTACATTCGTCATGAGTTCATATAATCAATCGATAAAAAAATGAAGTTTTAGAAATTTTTGTGAAGACAGACAGAATATTCCGAGTTAATTCTTCATTATTTGACAATTTTATTTCAATTTTTATTGTTTTTACTACTTTAGTATACTCATAAATCATGGTAGATTTAAAACGTGTAGTTATTATTTTGATGTCCTTAGCAGTTGTATGCTGTGTGGTCGGTGTTATTCATTGTCATTCAACTAGCTTTAATTGGAGTGGGGCACGATATTATCTAACAGGATATTATATTACATTTCCAATATGTAAGCTTCTCATTCGTTCGTAGATTAATTACATTCGACTATTCATCTCATTTTTCTAGTGTTATGTATGAGTAGCTTTTTGTTAGTTGAACAGTTATTGATAACAGACGGTATGATTTATAATTCAACTATCTCTAACGTTAATGTTAGTAATATATGCTTCTTTTTTCTTCTAGGAACGGTACCACCATTGAATCGGTTAAGAATAATATTTGCATTTGCTGCTGCTATTGTTTTGTTCGTTTTTGGTGTTGTCGCTGCTGTTCAGATCAGACATAATCCCAATTCTCCAAATGACAGTAATGTTGTTATTGCCGCTGTTATTTCATTTATTGGAATGGTTATTTACATAGCAGAAGCTGTTGCAAGAAATCGTAAAAGTCGACTTGTTTAATCGCTTATTCAAGTGACAATTGAAATTTCGCTGTATATTCCTGCTCAAAACTATTTTACAAGTGAATGAATTTGTAAACGTTTTTATCGCTTTTTTCGAAAATGAACAATCCATGTCATCAAAATCAGCAAAAGTTAGACGATTTTGATGACATGGGTAGATATTTCTTAGTTAACTATTGCTCAGTTGTTTTTTGTTGTTGTGTATTTCATCTTAAATATCATAAAATATGTTCGAGTTTTGCAAGTATAAATATATAAACACGTGTAATATTACTTTCTTCAGATGATAGTCACACGGAGATTTCATTACTGGCTTAATACACTGAAGTCTCAAAGCATAAGCCTTAACAGTCCGATTTATCACTATTTTTTTTAACGAAGAATCGAAACATTTCATTCTTATCACTATATGAAGAGAGTAATGGGTGGCCCAGAAATAATAACATACTTATTTCTGTGCACTTAGCTGAGATTATTAGACTCCATTCTAGGCTCATTCGATAGAGAATTTTCTGCTCAACAAAATCGGTTACCTTCTTTCATTATATATTATTTTATTATCTAAAAAGATTGTGTAGAGTAAGGACACATAAAAAGCATAACTGCGATTCACTATCAAAATTTTGATGACTTTTTGGCTTTTGTGTAATTTTTCCAGAAATAATATGGTAACTGAGAAAAGAGGGTCTTATAAAAATGTTCAGAGACTTGAGGACTATCATCCAGACTACGCTGCATTTCCGTTCCGTCACTTAAATTGTAAATATTTTAGTGCACAAGTTAATTAGTATTTTCTGGCAACGTGAAATTTTGAAAAAGCAGGAAAGGACTAACCAAATGACGCTGTGTAAGTGTGCGATATAGAGGGTTTTGTAGAGCAGGAAATCTTGTCTTCTGAAGCCAGAACGAATTCTTGGAAACATACGATATATACAGACAAAAGTAGGTACATCAATAGTCCCATAATCTTAGGATCATTTGTTATTAGTGGCTAAATGTTAGGAAAAATATTATTTTTCAACGTGAATTAATTAAATCAAGACGATTTCCTTACGCATAGTACCCGTGACAAATAGCTGACAGAAACATTATTAAATAATCAATTACGTCAAATACAAAAAAAAGTACAAGCTGTTTCATTCATCACAGTTATAGTTTTTACGTATTTTTACTCTAAACAATGTTTTTAGATAATAAAATAATATGTAATGAAAGAAGGTAATGGATTTTATAGAGCAGTAAATTCTCTATCGAATGAGCCTAGAATGGAGTCTTAAAATCTCAGTTAAGCGCACGGAAATAAGTTGCAAAAGTGTTATTATTTCTGGACCACACGTTAGATATGAAAGATTATACAAAATTTGTGTAATAGCTTCGTAAATCATACGCTGAAAATATTTCTGGCCTTTGTTTTCGGCGTTCATAATTTATTAAACTTCTTAATTGTGTTTCTATTAATGGAGTGCTTGGATGATCTTGCACTAGCCACGAATTGATTTCGGCATGCGATAATCCACATTTGACGTATTTGGATATAGATTTTCGAATTGGTGATGATAATCGTGTTGTTACATTACGTTTTTCTTGTTTATGTTCATGTACATTCTTGAGATAACTGTCATTGATTGCATATTGTCATCAGGTATGATTATCTGAAGTTCAAAAGAGCATAAAAGGTATTTTCTGTAGTGAACGCATTTTAGCGAATATTCTGTATGATTTTTCAAGTCTGATCGACGCCATGGACATACGTTGTATTGGGATTTTGCTAAATCTTTGGCTTCATCATAAGATTGCACTCTAGTCAAAACGTTCCATTCTTGTTTCGACATTTTTTTGGTGACGTTATGTACAGTTTGGAGGCATTATCTATCACTTTTATAAGTTGACAAAATAATTTGATCAAAAAGATCAAAAGTGCTCTTTTTTGTTAGCATTTTGATCCTTTTCGATTGACTAAGTTATTTTGTGATTAGAAATAATATTTTCTGTAATTATCTTTCATTAATTAATTTGATGATCAAAAGTGTTCATTTTTCGGTGAGCATTTTGATAGAATAAAATCGAAAAGAGGGAAAGAATCACTGATGTCTATGAATTAGCTGCGAACTCAAAAATATTAGTATATATTACTTAGTTCGAAGCCCACTATGTTTTACCGATCTCTACAAGAAACTTATTTTTCATGAATTACCCGCTAGTAGTACTAAGCGTGATGCAACTTTCTAAAAATTAAAATTCGTCTGATGATAAGTCATGCACTAGTGGAGCAGCAATGCAATCTGAAATGGTTCCGTTATGTAAAATACAAGAAAATCAAAATTTTTGACTGTAGAGTCCAAAGAAACAACTATTACCTTAAAAATGCAATTTACAACCTACTTGATCACAAATTAATCTGCACAACTGTTTATAACGAAATATGATCTCTAAAGGAAAATGAGACCAGCATAGATACAACGCGTAATAGAAAGTGTTCGTTTTGTTTTACTTCTCAATTCACCATGTTAAAGAGAACAACGCTGATTGTATTACTATATACCTACTGTGTTTCTGGATGGTTTTCAAATCGCCAAAAGAGTAGTAACTGTCGCGAATATTTTGGAAGTGAGTCTACAAACAAATTACTCGTATTTAATTTAGCACCACTTAAAAACGATTTACAAATTAGTTATCGTTCTTATATCTCATCAGATTATGCGCCAAATTTTAAAGATATTAAATTTGTCAATTATTGTTGTTTCATCCTGCAAGAGCCAAGATCAGAAAAATCATTATCAAAATGGCGAACAGATATGAAATTTTATGGTGGTGGGCGAAAACGTCAATTACAAATAGAGCGTTATATTGATAAGAGTAAAACAAAGCAACTGAATATACCACCAGATTTGAACGAGCGAAATATTTTACTTTACACAAATGATAATCAATTGAAATGGGCAACATGTAATGAAGTTGAACGTATAACTAAACTTTCATGTGCACATTTGTGGTTAAAATCATGTCGTGTTAGAGAACATTCACCATACAATTGGTTTTGTAATATAACAGCACATATTTCTTACACACATGATATACCATCAATCACAGAATTTCGTGCCGGTAATGATTTTATTGTTAGTACAAGACCAAGTATGAAAATGAGTTGTTAAAGATTTTGTTAATCTCAAATTCGAACGTGAACGTTGAACTAAATTTTTTCGTACACAACATTAAGATGATGTATATAAATTATTTAATTGGTAGTCTAATTTGTTATGTACATCATCAACTTAATAACGATAAAAACACATAAAGTGTTCAACTATTATCGTATAAAATCTGTTTAATCAAACGGACTTTTCGTACAGGTTTACCCATTAATATATGACCTAACAGACTCTAAGATTTCATTGCTGTTTTTCATACTCAATCTCTGTTTGTTTCACTTGAGATGACATAAACCTGTTTCACAATACGCTAAATTGATGCGCTGCTGGTGTCCATCATTCTATACAGTTCGTTAACAAATTCGTTTTCAAAATTATTAATAATTCGCGTAGCAAATTATGCTTTATACAAATTCTTCAAAAGGCGATTAGGGACTTTGACTTCTTTCCTTGAGGACTGCGAACCGTATCTCTAATTTTTAACAATGATTATTCTTTTTGCTTTCTACACTAGGACCAGAGCCTTTTTCACAGATGCCTCAGTATGCATCGACAATGATGAAACTGATATTCGCCGGTATCTTTTACATTTCGTATCTATATATGTTGACCAAGACACCGAGCAATGCAGTTCAACTAGGTAATTCGACATTCTAGTTAAAATATAAAATACCACAAAACATTGACCGATGCATAGTGGATCGTAAATTAGATTTTGGTTGAAGCAGATTTGCTTGGGATATTCCATACGTTACAAAATTATGTCATTAGGTCATAATTTCCGAGGAATAAATTTGCAACTGATTTGAACTCATCATCTAAAAAATGGTGGAATTTCATGAAACATACAACTAGTAAACATCGTTCATCATCTATACAATCTTTACTTGATATAGATACAGACTTATTAGTTAGCGCGTCGCTCGATAAAGCCGAATTACTTAACCATTATTTTGCAAAAGTTTGCACAACTTCTCAGAATAATCCGACGTTCCCTATGTGTTAGCACCTCCATGTGTTGTTATGTCGCAGTTTCATATTTATGATACTGAAATCTTTGAATTATTATCAAATTTAGACACATCAAAATCTTGTTCGCCTGGTATCACAAACAGAATATTGTTAGAGGTAGCGCCTTCTATTACATCGATATTATCTACTCTTTTCAATAAGTCGCTTAACACTGGCATTTTTCCTGAGTCTTGGAAACTAGGTATTGTCCATTGTTTGTATAAATCTGGAGACGCTCAGTTGCCAAGTAACTGTAGGCCAATTACATTCTTAATTATTCATCCAATTAAATTCTGTATCAAAGATCTTTGAACGTATTGTTTTTAATCATATTTACGGTTTTCTTCGTAATAATACATTTTTCCACGCTAACGAGGCAGGCTTCTTACGAAACCATTCGACAGTGACTCAACTCATTCGTATAGTACATCACATTTCGACTAGTTTCAATCAAGGTTCTCCAGTAGTTGCGGCTTTTCTCGACTTCAGTAAGGCATTTGACAAAGTTAACCATGATGATCTACTTATAATACTAAAAATGCTTCTTAAGTGCTTTCAAAATTATTTATTCCAAAGGAGAATTGTTATAATGGTCGACGGCACTACGTCATCTGAAAAATTCATTTCGTGTTCCGTCTTGCAAGGTTCCATCTTAGAACCATTACTTTTTTAATTTACATCAATGATTTACCTGAAACAATTCAAAATTTACGTTTTTTGTTCGCAGATGATGTTTCAATTTACTCTACCTCAAACGATATTAATAAGACGATTGTTGGTATGAATAACGGTGTTGATAAAGTCTATAAATGATCTTTACAATGGTACTTGCCGCTGAATATCCTTAAATGTTTTAAAATAATTTTTCATCGATCAGTAATGCTCACTGTCTTGCCACCTTTACAAATCAATAATATTTCCTTACATTTTGTAAACCAACATATTCATCTTGGTTTATATCTTACTAAAAATCTTGATTGGACTCTACATATTAACGTACTGGCTTCTAAACGGGATAAGACATTTGGCTGTTTGAAATTTTTGAACAGAACTTTATCTCATCACGCTCTCAGTCTGGCTTATAATGCATATATTTTGACTTATATTAACTATGCTAGCGTTATATATTCTTCAACAAATGAAAAAAATTTGAAGCGTCTAGTCACTCTGCAATATCACGCGTGCCTTGCTGTCACAGGAGCTATGTCAGGTAGTTCGCATCAAAAGATAACTGATGAACTAGTATGGATTCCACTCTTGAGTACAATAGTCAGTGGTCAAATAACTCAGTTTGGCTTATTTGACATTCATCGTCTTTGTTTTTTCTTTAAAATTGTGAACAAAATATATGATTTGAATAAACTTTTGACACCAGCGAATACCTGTACCTATCCTTTACGTAGTCAAATCAACGATAAATTACCAGTGCATCTCGGTGGTATCAAAGTCTTACAAGAGTCATTTATTCACGGAACCACGAAGCTTTGGAACGAACTTCCGTATGACCTTCGATCACTGACACGATTTCATAGTTTTAAAAATAAACTAAAATTCCCCCCACGAACTAAAGTTTCGACTACCTGTAGCCGAGGACCGCATGGCTGACATTGATTTTTTCCGTTGCAGAATTAATTTCAGTCAATTAAACTTTGACCTCTCGCTAAGCACCATCTACTTAAAGAATGTATGTGTACATGTGGGTTTCTCCACGAAACCGTTTATCACTTCTTCCTTACCTGTCCTATTTTCACTACGGAAAGATCTCCAATGTTGAATATCTTTAAGACCGTGTTAAAGGTCAACATCAACCAGTTAAACCATATTCTCTTTAGGAATTTAATTTTTTCTTTTATGAATAAACATGACTTATTCATATTACGTAATAATGTATTAGACTTCATAAAAACGACAAAACGTTTCCGTCCGTGATGTGGGTGCACTTGACCTGCTTTTATTGTTCTGCAGTAGATACGCTCAGGTTGAAATTGATAGAGATCTGTTAAAACATTCTAATATGATGATAGAGTCCTTAGAACTTACTCTCCCTTATCCTAGAATAGTTTGCTGTTCTTTCTCTAATATATTATCAGCTGTTTTTCTCTACTCTTTTTTTAGCAATTTAACTGTATTTCTCTTATGATCAAATTGTCACAACAGGTAATGAGCATAACTCGATTTGTTGTTTTAATAAACCTAATTTAAACTAAATCTACCTTCAAAATTTGTTTCAGACATTCTTCTAAGTTTTTCTCTTTGAATTAATTCTCTACAAATTCGTATTCAAGAAAAATCTACCTAAAACTAATTAATTTGTACCCAGTAAATGTCAAAATCAAACCAGAAAAAGTCCAAAAACTGTAAAGCCGTTATTGTGGGTTTTTCCAACTTCGTGCGTCTAGAAAATCATGAAGAAGAAAAGAAAACTGAAAGTTTTATCTGGGACTTTGTAAACCTCGGTGAATAGTTCTATTCCAGAGAAAACGACAAAAATATCCCGTCCAATTCAAATTTTAGCCTTACCACAAGTTCGACATTTTGAAAAACCTGGCTTCAGCGTTACAGAAGCCGTCCTCGAACGACGCATGCTGTCGAGTTCATTTCTACGTCATTCGAACAAGCAATTATTCAGCTTTGATCTGATATAAAAACAGTATGTTTTCAACATAGTTTCATGGCAGCAGAACAAAAATTAAAAGGACTGTTTTTGCCTCTTGGGCTACTTTGTAGCCGGCGCCTGTCATCTTATTCATGTTAGGACATGTCATTTGTATTGGTTATGATACAAATCTTTGTCTTTAATAAGAACTACAGAGAAATCATGCAAATGTTTGGTTACAGAAAAAGTGGTACTGAAAGTTGACCGATGAGTGCTCATATCGTCTATTTCCTAATACTTGTGCTACAACTGCGATCACAGAATCACAATTGTGCGCAATTCGTCCGCATTATGCGATCACATTGCGATGCAGGTTTACCAATGTCGAAAACACAGGAGTTCACTTTGTAACTTGGGTTCCCCGAAAAATCATGTTCCACATTTTTTTTAGGAGGTGATCTGGCTTTTGCTTATCTTTCCTAGTATTAGGAAGTTCACATATTCTCATTTTTGGGGCTCGTATTTGTGTAAAAAATGGGCTGAAATGTATGGAAGTACCCACCTACGTGCTAAATGCGTCATTCTGGAATCGTATTACTCTTAACGCTGTTGTCTAGCATATCTTAATCGATGATGACGCTCTGATCGTTTTCACGTTAGCTTACTTTATCTTCTCTTAAACTACAATTGTATAATGATTAGGATAGGGGTCGCCGTAGTTTCAGACATTGTGCTGACATCTTGACTAACGCTGCTTTAGAAACTGCTGAACGTTACTTTTAACACGTACCGGTATAGAGTGCTTTAACGACAACAGCGTGTGATTCACTATCTTTCTACAAGTTGTGAAGGTTGTTACTCTGACAACAGACCAAATCTTAATGGTAGATTCCAAATTTGTTGACCAACAGAATATGCGAAAATCAGTATTGGGCTTTGTCGAGTCGATCATCTAGAAATAAGATCAGATCACGAATTGAAAATATGTCTGGAGGGTCTGGTAAGTAATCAGAGTATTTTATCGAATCAATCGCTACTCTAAAACTTTATCAGAATCTATCGAGTAAAGTTTCAACATGAATTTTAGTAATTTGATGCACAGACTGAGAAAAATGCGTTTATTTCGTGCACCTTCCCGTTTTGAGCAACACAAATTCATTGGATGGAAGTTTTGAGTTTAAACAAAAACAGAATGAGATTTCATTTCTTGTTTACATCTTTTTCGGAGAAGTTACGATTACAAAAAGAGTGCCCTCTTTGGGGTAGGATAGTGAATGTCTCAGTAATCGTAACTTCTCCGAAAAAGATGTAAACAAGAAATGAAATCTCATTCTGTTTTTGTTTAAGCTCAAAACTTCCATTCAATGGAAAATATCAGCTAGTGTTTTTCAATGTCTAAAATGGCAGAAAATATAACACTTTCATTAATAAGCTCATTTTTTTATTCAATTTTAAGGACAAACAGCGAGCGCCGCTGAAAAACTTCAGTTATTGTTATTGCAGCTCGATCATGCCGGATCACCATCTTCTCCTATGCAAAATTCAAGTTTATCAAAAGTAAGCACACTAGTTGAAAGTTTATGTCGACTATTTAGTCACCTGTTTGCCATTGATGAGGGTATTTGTTTATTTAATAAACACATCATTGAACAAATCAATCATTTTTTCTCTTATCTCAAGACACATCTGTAATTAACCATGATAATTTCCGTTGTAGGCATCAAAAGATACACCAAAAACTGATGAATTAGTCATACTTCTTCAAGCGTCGGAAGAAATAAGTCACCGTTTACAAAATGAAAATGTGACATTACACGTAAGAGAAAAAACATGTACATTGTAATTCTGTCACTTTATTTCGGTATATCACACTATAACATCTATTCTGCAAGGTACTAAGAGTTCGGTATACGATAAGATCCCGATCTTCATGTAACGGAACAGATTAGATCAAAGTATAAGATTGGTACAAATTGTTTGAGAACTTATTTGTTTTATAGAATGATATCACTAAACTTCGATCGAATGTTGTAGCACTTGTTGAAGAAAACAATAAGTTACATGAAGAAATACGAACAACATTTGTATCTGATATGTTGCGGCTTGTAACTGCTGACGGTGAAAGACAGGCAACTGACAAGGAGGTTTGCTTGAATTATTTAGCCTTCTTTGTTCATATTTATAGTAAGTCTCTTTCTTTTTAGTCACAGGTTGTCGATCTTTATGCGAAAAAAATGCGTAGTATTGAAATTGATCTTAAAGATGCAAAGTAAGACTCATCAAAATAAAAAATAGTCATGACTGAACTGGTCATTTATATTTTTAGAGAAAAATTAGCCATGTATGAATCTGTATGGCAAGCACCGAATGACTTGATGAATTGTTTAAAGTGTGGCTCTCCCTTACCCCTTGATACTGGACAAAACAGTGAAAAATATACAAATTTAGTGACGTAAATTTTTTGTAGAATGATAGAAATCAAGCATTCATTTCAAAATATTTCTCCATAGCGAAAACGAGGCAAATAAACGTAAAGTGGAACAGATTCAGCATAAGCTTGAACAAAGTCAGATAAAAGAAAATGCGACATTATCAAAATTACAGGAATGTATTATAATCGTTGAACAAAGTCAATTTGAAAAGACAGAGGTAAAATAGAAGATTGTTGAGGAACGATTCGATAATTATGTTTTTGTTCACTTTTTCTAGGCGATCGTCGAGCGTGAACAGTTGAAAATGGAATTGAATGAAACAAAACAGCGTTTGAAAAACACAATTGATGATATATCAAATAACATTATGGGGGAAAAACAAGCAGTTGAACGTGATTGTGAGCAAAGAATCAATGAAAATGTGGAAGCAGTAAGTTCGAGGTTTGATTCAGAGCCCTGTAGGTTGCTACTTTTTGGCAATCTATAACCTAACCTATAAAAAATTTCACAACCTAATCCTAATCTACTCTATCCTGTGATTTTTTGTTTTCAACCCACAGAACGTTACACGTATATCTGACAAAAGTAAACATAAATGTCATTGAGTTTTTGCCTTTTTAAAGAATTAAGGCGTAGATGACTCAAAATTAGACAAAAATTTCGCCTGTGCAAAAGTAGAAAGAAATCGAAAAAAATTAAAACACAACCTACAATCTAATCCTAACCGAATCTATAGGTTAGGTTTAACCCGCAGAACTCTGATTTGATTGAATTGAAAATTCATCTTCTTTCCATTTAGATTAAAAAACTAGAAGAAAAATGCGCACAGTATGAGGTGACGATTGATCGTTTGGCACGCGAAAAAACGTCACTTGCAACAGATCTTGATAATTGGAAAAATCGTATACAACGTCAAGAAATAGATTTGAGTCTAGTAGGGGACAATTAATTCTAAATCGAAAAGATTAAATTTTTGTGTATTTTAGACGACTGATACAGTTAAATTAGAAATTCAAAAGGCAATGAGAGAACGAGATCAAGCTAATTCAGGTGCCATGAAAATTCGTAATGATTATGAGAAGTTATTGTCACAAAGTAATCAGGTATTGGCAGTAAACTGTTCGTTCTGCTAATGATGACAAAACTTTTTTCATTTAGGATACCCTACAATTACGACAACAATTAAATTCTGTACAAAATCGTTCATATGAAATTGAAAATGACTTATTGAATTCGAAAAAATATTGTCTTGAATTAACCGAAGAAACAAACCGACTAACACGTGAAGTGTGTATGACTTTGGACATATTCGTCTATATAACTAACAGAATGTTTCTGTTCAGAGCATTATGCTAAAAAGTGTTAAACAGTCATTGGAGAAAAGTCGTGAAGACAATATGGATGCCATTGTTGTCATATTAAGACAACGTGAAGATGATTATCGTCAAACAATTGAAAATTTGGAAATTGATCGTAAACAATCATTATCGGTTCTAGAAGATTTAGTTACAAAACAAAATGTTATACTAAATAAATTACGTTTATATTCGAAACAACTGACAACGGAAATCGAAACAATTCTCAGGCAAAAAAATCAACTTGTTGAACAAATAACAATTGAAAATCAAGAATTAAGAATGAAATTATCAAATGCATATGAACGTTTAGAGACAACTGATGTACAACTGTTAAAACATAATGACACGCATATAAAATTAAAAGAACGCTTAATTGAATTAAATACGAAAGTGAAAGACTACGAAAATATGGTAAGTCTGAGCTTAATGAAGAAAAACATAACTTATATATTATTTTTTTCTAGATTGATAAATTGAAAGCAAAAGATTTGATGGATTATCAGCAACGTCTTGCACTAATATCTCAAAGAACGTAGTATTTTGTTAAATTTTAAGTTAATTTTATAGAATAGTCAGTGTTCTTGTTATTAGGCGTGTTTTTGTAAATTTTGATATAATAGCAATCCGCTTTTTGGAAATGTGTCTTTTGGTTCTTAGTTACGTAGTTTTTAGATAAAATAGTTTTTAATCTCTATTTGAACGTTGAACTTTTCTCTCTTCTACAATTAAATGAAGTCCTTAATTTCTGCATAATGCTAACTTATTTACCAAGGATGGAAAAGCACCACATAGTAATGAAAAGTTGTTGTCAGTTGCTTTTGGGCTGTAAATCAGCCGATAGTTGTTTTTAGTCTAATGATTATCTCGCTGTCTAAAATTCAAGATACTGGATGGTCAAAAGATCTAAACCTCTCATTACGCTGATTTTTTAGGCTTCTTTTTTTTCTTTCTACACGTGCTTTATAAACGTTTGAAAGGAAATAAAATAGAAAATTTGAGACACAATAGAGTTTAGAGGTAAAGTTTCACATAAAAAAACATTCAACGAGCACGACTTTGCTAAAGAGAGAAAGGATTTGGGCTTAGCGTACGAGTAGAAACCACACACAAACGGCAAAACGGTAGTCTAAAAAATGGTCTCATACAAGAAGTCAAATCAATTTGAACAGTAAGAGAAGCGTTTTCAGCTGTACGCATCAAAACTACAAACGTTCAAGCAGAAAGAAAAAAATATATTTGTCTCCGTAAACAGCAAAAATTAAATATAAACGAACTCTTCTCGATATTTTATCGGAGCCGAAAGGTGCTATGGATACTACGAATAAAAAAAGTGCGTTCATCCTTGTTCATTTTTTCCAATGTACGCATATTTGGAAATGAATTTGTTTCTCGAAGCCATCTTGTATCCGTAATAATTATTTCTAGACACAGCATTGACGTTTGTATACTACTTGTCTTTATTTGATGTTCAAACAAAACAGGTAAAAATCAAAAAAAACAATCAGAACCCATTTTAATTAAATAACAACAGAATAAAATAAAAGTGCAAATTTTGTACAATTATTCTGCTTCCAAAAACAAATGAAAAGGTAATATACTCTGATTAAAAAGATTGATTCTAGAAATAAACAAATATCCGCTACTCAACAATAAAATAAATCTCAATGTCATCACTTTTTATACCTACATAAAATACTGTACAAAAAAAGCACACGTTTGTATAATGCAGTCAAACAAGATTAAGGCAGAATGTTATATTACAAATAGCTACATAATAACGCATGTTTTAGATGAAGTATTTGAATTTGCTGGTGTGGTTGTTGTATTTGATTTTACTGGTGTCGTTGTTGCATTTGGTTTTGCCGAGCTTTCGGGTGGTGTTTTTGTAATTGTTGCCGATCCTGAACGACGAAATAAACGTGAAAAAAATCCTGGCTGTTCTGTTGGTGTTTCACTTGTTGGCTGATTCGCTTTCGTTGGTCGTGTAGCAAGTGTTCCAGTTGCTGGTGTTTGTGGAATACGTTTAGAACCACTTCTTGACAGATCAGTGGGTAATGGTCTGCCACTAATTGTTTGACTTCCATCTCGATGAAATGAACTTGTGGTTGGTGCATTGCGTGAAGCAGTTGGCAATGATCCTCGACGCTCCGGTAGACGATTATTAATTTCTTTTCGATCTTCTCTGTTACTGTTATCTCCATCGCTATCATCATCATCATTGTTTGAGAGACGTCGTTGAGGTTCACGCATCATATTTGCTTTTCGTGCTAAAGGAGTGCTCTGAGGAGCAAGTTTTGTAGTAGTAGTTGGTTTCAATGGACGTTGATTGATTGTTGAAGTAAGCGGTTTTGTATTAGATGATGAGAATTCATCCTCGCTATCGTCACTTCTCTTAGTATCGAATTTTCGACTATTACGCATATCAGGTGAACGTTTATGAGCTTGTATGTTTGAGGGAATACGTGCTGGGGTTTTTGTTGTTTCATTTTTTCTCAAGGATGCATTATTAGTCTTCTGCGGGAACTTTTCAGTGTCTGAACTGTCGTCATCTTCTTCTTCATCTTTTATTGGTGATTTTCTTGTAGTCGTTCGTTTCAATGTATCCGGACTATAAGTACCTTTCGGTGATGAATCACGATCATTATTTATATCTCGATACGGGGTCATATGTTTTGAATTATCCAATAGAGATTTTCGTTCATTACTAAATGTACTAGGAGTCGAACGAGAGTTTTTGATTAGCGGTTCATCAAATCGATTTAATTTTGTAGGTGAATGTTCTCTTGATTTATTTTCATCATCATTATCGTAACTCTTAGCATTTGATTTTAAATCGCGTTGGTCACGATCAGACAATGGTTTGTTACTATTTTGGTTTATTGGCATCAATCGACTGTTATTGTTGTTACTATTCGTTTTATTATTCCATGATTGCGTATTAATAGCTGGTAACGTTGGTTTTCTTAAATCTGAATCCGATGCTGAATCATTATCCGATGGGACTTTTTGTATTTTTACTGTACGATCTAATGCGCCAGTTCTGATAAGATCTTCACTGGCGCCTAATGTTCGATCATGTGTTAAACTTTCTTTTGGCTTAAATTTGCCTTTTACAAACGTATGCGTCTGATTGAACGTAGCACTTTGTATAGATGCTGAAAGCTCTTCATTCGTTTCGTTACCATCATCTGAAGTGGGCTCGGTACGCAATGCTGAATTATGACGTGGAAAGTCGGGCGATACTGCACGATTTGATTGAGAAGAGGTCGTTGGTTTCAGCGTACTTGCAAGCGGTTTCACATGAGTTCTTGTTGAATCGGTGAGAGTATCATTACCAACGTCTGTTTTCTTTTGATTAGATTTTAAACGATTAACTCGAGCGAGACTTTTCTCCATTTGAGTTCCGCTCAATGTCTTCCCTGAAAAACAAAAGATAAATGAGTACCCATTTAGAGAAGTTTTCAAAAGCCTGAAAAGATTTTTATCTTAATTTTTAGAGAAAGCGGTTTTCTTGCTGCGCTGAATTTATCCATGAAGGCTTTAATAATAAACAAATTTTTCTATCCTATGCATGCCTTTAATGTCATCATCTGAATCCGATTTATTTTTGTTGTCTTTAGAATTTTGTTGTGCAAGTAATATTGTATGACAGCCCCCACACGATACTTTTAAAACCGTAAAATGATGAAACTTTTCAACAAAACGTGGTTGAAATTCATTTGTTAGTTTTCCATCGTTAACACCTAATTTTCCATGACGCCCATCGCCAAACACGTACAGATCTCCTTTTCCCACAATGGCTACTGTATGACCTTCACCGCAAGCGATAGCGGTTACTTTTTTTCCTTCAAATGCATCAACTGGTTCAAAATGTTCGGTTAATAACAGAGATGGTCCTAATCCAAGTTGACCTCGGTCACCATTTCCAACCACTAACATACGACCATTATCTGTTAGAACGGCTGTATGCTGATGTCCACATGCAACAGATTTGACAGGATACGTTAACGAAACATGAATAGGTCCAACTTGTTTTTCAGATGAAAAACGTCCTAGTTGTTGATCACCGTTACTTCCAAATGTATACAATTTACCGTCATCACTAACCAGAGCTGTATGATAATAACCGCATGCCTAGGAGAAAAGAAAAAGGTAATAAACAAGTGTATCTCTTTTATTTTTCGCACCTACAATTGCTTTTACACGATATGGTAATTTTAATTCTTGTGGAAATTCAATTGTTTCTTGTTGTCTAGCTAAACCACATTGTCCCTCTGAATTCGAACCCCATACATAAATTGTGCCCTGTTGCGTTAATGCACAAGTATGTTCTGATCCTGCTGCTAACTGTTTCCACGCGAGATGTGGTAGCAAATGATCCAGTTTAATCGGTTTGGAATACATCGATGAACTAGATTCAGTGGATTGTCCTGTATGTTTATCATTATCAATTCCAAGTTGATGAACATTGTTTGAGCCAAAACCATATATTGAACCTTTTGTTGTTGCAACAACCGAATGATCACGACCACATGCTACTAAAGATACTTTATCACCATCTTCACTAAATTTTAAACTTTTAATACATGATACTTTGTCAACTCTATCATTGTGACCCAAACCAAGTTGACCTGAATGTGAAAGAGGAATAATTTACTTTCAATCACATAAGACAGATACAAGCGTCTATAATTACCGAAGTTATTATCGCCAAATGCAAATGCACGTCCACTTTCTGTCACAATGATTGTATGTTGATCACCGCAAGCAATTTGTACTATCGGATCATTTCGTATATAAAACTGATTTCGACTATTTTCTGGTAAAAATGTTTTCCCCAGCAAATAAACTTGTGGAGCGTTGTCTTCATTAGTCATTTTTTGCTAAATAGGTGAAGATTTCATGTCTAAAATAGTCAGATGAATGACACATGTATTGCACAGATCGGAACCTTTGAACTATCCGATCTAAGTCAAAGATTATCTTCAAAGAGACTATGTTCAAAGGCACTCAGGTGATCAGAAATGAAAAAGAGACTGTTGCATAGAAGTTTATTGTAGTATTTCGCGTTGGCATCCAGCGCCCATTCAACTATTTCATATAAAAAGCATTAACATAAAAAACAGTCAAGTACTATACACTTGCTATGTCTGAATAGATAAGCCAAAGTACTTTCTCATTCGATTCATTCACAAAGTAAGAACCACTATTTTGGTATTGCTCGGATGTTTGTTTTAAATGAATTAGTCTAAATATTGATAACGATTTGCCGATGTTTTATTTATAGTTGTTCATTGATTGTCCACTGTGTATATGATATTCATGCAAGGGCAAAGAAGCAGACTTTGTTGGATTTTAACGGGCTTAGATGGACTTTGAAAGCTCGTAACTGGATTTAAGTCTGCTTTTTTCTCCTTGTATTCGCGGCATTGCTAAATTATCAACATAGATTATTTAAGCTACCTTGAAAATGATTATGGCAATGTCTTAGATTAAATTCTGACGATGGGTATTGTGACGAGGAATAATGTAAATCTTCAATATTACGCAATTGGTCGCTTAATAACTGCGGTGACTCTAATGAATCGGTTTTTGAATTCGAGTTAACTATTGAGGAGAGGATTACTGTTATCGATAATCGTGATATTAATCTGACAACTGCTGTAAAAATTCATACAGATTGATTGATTAACCAAATTCTTAAACTATTCTGAAGGTGTCAGCTGTATTTACGAATATCATACAGAACTAGAATAAACGTAAAAAAATACAGATTAAGTTCTCAATGACCAGCAGTATTAATATATACAGTTTCTTTCCTTGCTATGAGATTATCTCTCTTTTTCCGCCGTATAACAAATTCGTTTATAGTCTGCTTTAGTTGAGGGTATAGAGCAGAAAAACAACGAACATTATACTATCAGTGACGGATTTAGCAGAGGTGTGCTTGATGCGATGTCACCCCCTTCCAAAATATTTTCAGAAAAAATCCACTGTTAGTGCTTCCAGTCTCAAAAGTTCAAGCAATCGCACCCCCCATTAGAAAATCCTGGCTCCGCTACTGTATACTATAGAAAACTAAGCTATGTAATCGCATTCCAGTGTTTATGTGCCATCGGCTAAGTGGTTAAGCTACTTATAATATGATTTTCAAACCGACCTACCTGCTTAACAACAGGTAGAATTTGGGTGTGATAGATACGGTTCGGTTCGGTTCGTATAACAACTACATTACAATTTTTCAATAAATCAGAAATTCCCAAGACTATGATTGCTAATGTGTTTCTATCACATATAATTACATGGTAAAACATAGCATAACTATATACTTTATCTGTGACTGTATATAAACTGTTCTTCATTACAATCAAAAAACATTAATTTTAAACAATCGTTGAATTTGACAATGACTTAATAGAGTATCAACTTTTACATTATGAACCTTTAGAGTTCCTCCAAGGTAAAGACATACTTTGCTTTTTCTTTTTGCAAAAAAAGCAAACATTGCGCAACTGTCAACTGTTATTGTTGTTATAAAGCCAGAAAACCAAACATTGCTACATTAACAAGAAAGAATTGAACGACGTGCAGAATTGAATAAAGTGCTTCAAGTTTAGTAATAGTAATAACAAATCCAAGACAATAACTCACACGGCTGGACTCTACATGGTTTTGACGACACTCAGGTCAACGAACTCCATGAAACAGTGAACGATGTGTCAGTCGATTAACTGACAGCTTTCAGTCGAAAAAGTGTCTGGCACTAGAGGTCTGCAGGGCCGTCCCAGTCCCGGTTCCATTTCGATCCCGCGAAATTTTTTGCGGGACCGGGACCCAGAGAAATCTTTTTTACGGGATCGAGACCTAGAGATATGCGAGCACTGGTCATCTTTTCCAACTAAATGTGTGCCAGACACTTTTTCGTTCTAGAAAGCTATAAAAGATTCATAATTTTACTGTAATTCTCGAGCGTTCTTCATATTATTTGCAAACCTGAGTTACGAAAATGCTCTAATCGAGGAAAGAATGTGTAGTTAACGAGATTCATAAGTACAAAAAAGGAGCTACTAGCGACATAACTTACTTTCAAAACAATAGAAATTTAAAAGTTAAACGATAAGACTTATAATTCTGAGGTCTGAGCCAACTTTTCGAACGAAAAGTAGTTTTTTTTCTATAGTTTTAAGATCTTTCTCGTCTCAGCAGATAAGTAGCAGTCGTTTTTCCGAATAGGAAATATGCTCAGTCGCTGTCAGTCCGAAAGGTGACTGACGCGCTTGCATCAATTGCTAAAGCGATTTGCAGCGACTGACTATAACTCACCAAGACGACTATCATGATTTACAGCGACTGAACATAAGTCACTAAGACGACTATCACGATTTAAAGTATATATTAGCGATAAAACAGTATTGTGCGTCGTAAGACAGAACTCCTAATAATCACCGTCGTCATAACATCGACTCTATAGCGTCGAGAAACGACAGTTGTAGTTTGTCTTGAGCTTCATCATTTCGCTCAACTGGAAAATTTTTGCTTTTATGCTTTTCTGCTTTGCTTCTGAGAGTTTCTACTTCTCAGTATGCAGAATAGAGGTCGCTAACGCAAAAAGACTATTTTTCATCAGTATACTGTAGCTAAACTATAGTGTATCCATAATATGGATACACTGATATGGATTCCATATCAGCGAGACAGCTAAAACAGAAATACAAGCAGAGGTGATCTTGAATTAAAGTGAACCCATAGAATTTATCCCATCATTACATAGCCAAAACAAATAAAAAACAATGAAATCCAGAATGGAAATCCAGAAAGGGTCCATGATCTTTAAGAGGGTTAGCAGTGTAAAATAGAGGAGGATGCATTTTTCTGCTAGTATATATTTTAGAATACTGAAGTAGTTTTTCTAAGTTGGATATTTATGTTCTACTATATGATACTATACAATGGACTAAAGAAATGTACATAAGAGCGCCGATATGATGAAGAAATAAGAAATGAGATAAATAATTTGTACAAAAATACGTAGTCATGTTTTCATAATCATTTTTTCCCACTTTACATTTATTAGATCCTATCTTTGGTAAATACTGCTTCACCTTGCTTGTTAATTTTGCCCTATTGTTTTGAGTATTAAGTAAAAATAAACGATCTACCAAGATCAAAAACAACTGACATTTAATAGAACATAGATGGCCTGTTAATGAAATGGCTAATAAAAAGGTTTCAACAGACTTTTGATTGTGAAAAAATGGTCAAATAACAGGTACTATTCATTGGTGTTCATCTGATCTTTAGTGATAGCCTAAAAACAAGCGATTAATTATGTGTCAGTAAGGCTCAGATTTAGATAACCATTAAATGGCATTTTATTGCTTGTTTTATGAACGTTAAAAAATCAGCAAAAAACGGACATTTAGCGTTTACCAATTAATTCATTCTTTTGTTTCATTGACCCCACTACTATATAAATCATGTTGTTTTCTATAGAAAACGTAGTTTTATTCTTCCTTTAATATATAAGTCATCGAAACTTGTGTTGAGGAAGTAGCTACTGGTTCTGGGGATGATTCCAGAGATTCCCTAATCATACGTAGGAAACCGAAAATATTCAAAAAATTAAAAAGCTATTTATTTCATGATAGTGGTCCGAAAGAGATTAGTCATGATCAATAGTCGGATCCCTGGCTATAAATAGCCAATAATTACGCAAAAATGACCATTCAACGGTTGCATTAAAGGAGCATTAAAGGCTTGTTTTCAGCCTGTATCTTGGCCGTTAAAAAAATGCCACTTTTAAGCATTAATACGTTCCAGTTATAATACCGAGAAACGGTCAAAAGATGGTATGAACTAGCTAAAAAATGTCATTTAAGACACATTTTGTAGGCTGTTAATAGACAATAAATTACACCGTTTTCAACGTCCAGAATAACTTAATATAGACTAATTTTTTAAACTTTAGAAAACAGAAAATGCAAATAAGGTATACTTTTTCAACACACCATTTTATTTTATCTACACTTTTATAGACGTATCATAAAAAAATATTACTATGAAAAAATGAAAACATTAGAGGACATAGCACAGAATATGAAGGTAGATAAAGAAATAATAGGCGTCTTGCATGGAAACGTTTTGGCCTTTATCTCGCTGAAGGACCACTTCAAATTTCATAATTAACTTAACTTAAAGGAACTTAAAGGTTTGAAACGATGTTCTGTCAAATGACCATTTCAAAAAAATTTCAAAACTTTCTTATACAAGATTTCTAGAAACCATTGGTTTTTTAGAGATGGTTTTATACGAGAAATGTTTTTTAACGTTAGTTTTGGTTGAAAATTTTTCGAGTTAATGTACGCTTGTAGAGAAATGTTTGAGCTGTATTTTAAAAAAATCATAAAAAAATTATCTCATCTAAATTTGAAATTTAAATTTTGTTTAAAACTTAAATAGTTCAATTTTTTCTATAGCAACTAATATTTTTAGTATCGATGTCGTAGGAAATAATATGAAAAACTGAACAAATTTAGGAGTTTGACAGGATTCAAAAGTCAAATTATAAATGGTTTTAAGGAGTCAATTTATAAATGGTTTATAAACCTCTGAGGATTTACACATTCTTTGAAAGAAGCAAAGTCGAATAAGGATGAAAGAAACAACTAAATATGCCGAATAGTTGTTCTGGTTTAAAAAACAAATTGGAGATGTTGGGTCGCGGTAGAAAAAATGTTTTTTTCCGTTTTTCATTCAGTTCATCTATGTTTCAAAAGTGGTGTGATATACTCAATATTGACATTCAAAATTTAAGTGTTAGTAAAACAGATAGTATCAAACACTTCGTAAACGATTAATATTGAAAGAAAAGAGACGC